AGGCGAGGCCAGCCGAGCGCCGAGCGCGCCCCTTCTTCCCCTCTCCGGCGTCTGCCTCCGCCCCTCCGGGTCCCCCCTAGAACCTCGGCTCTGCTGGAGAGTTCGAATCCCGACCCTGCCACCTTCTAGTCCCGCGATCTTGGGCAAGTCGCTCTGCCTTTCGGAACTTTAGTTTCCTGTAAAAGGGAAACAATAATGACTTCTGTTTATTGTGCCAGGCACTGTTTTAGGCTCTTTATGGGAATTATCTCGTTTAAACTTCACAGTAACATTTTTAAGTAGAAATTATTACACACACACACACTTTATAGTAAGGGAGGCACAGAGAGATGAAGAAACCTGCTCAAAATCACACAGCATGCAAGTGGTGCCGGGTCCCAGGATCAAACCCGGGCTTAAGAAGCAACAATACAAATTAACGCTTTTATGATGCTTACGCATCGCTTACACTGTCAGATTCCGTTCGAAGCATTTAACCTGCACTAACTCGTTTAAAACTCACCACAACCCAATAAGGAACGTTAAAACGTTCTGCCCATTTTGCAAATAGGGAAACGTAAGCACAGAGAGGGTCAAGAACCAACAGCAAGGCGAGCTGGGACTGGAGCCCAGGCAGTCCAGACCACTTACGCTCTCCCTTCCCACACCGGTTAGAACCTACTCAGGGTTTGCCATGTGAGAAGGGCTGCTTTGCACACTTTGCAGGCATTCTGCCATTTAATCTTTGCTGTATCTTGGAAGGTAGGATTCTTATTTAACAGGTAAAGAAAGTGAGCCCCGGAGAGTTTAAGTAACTTGCGAAGAGTATGTGATAGGAGTAGGATTCAAACGCAGTAAATCTGATTTCAGAGCCAGAGTTATTTCTGCAGGGTGCCCTGAAAGAATGTGTTTACAGCACCCAGCACACAGGAGACGACCAATAGGTGTTGGATTTCTCCGCTTACCGCCCCTTTTCTGAACTTCACCTTCCTCATCCGTGAAATGGGGCTAGTGACGTGTCCCCTTCCAGGGGAGCCGCCGTGATTAAGGCCACTCGCACAGCACTTTCAGCGCTTTGCGGCGTGCATTTTGATCCCGGCCGCCCATTGTAGGTAGCATCACTGATTGGCTAAATTCTATCACGTGACCTGCCCTCCCACCGTGCCAACATGGCGGCGCCCAGGACCTAATCCGGGAAACGTGCCCCAAGACTAATTCAGTTCTCCTGGAGAAGGTGAGGAGGGCCTGGGCGGCGCCGAGAGGGATCCGGAGCAGGGGCGGGCCCATTTGAGGGCTTCTGGCTCCGCAGGGGCCGGTCCTCCGAAGATGGAGGGTGGTGTCAGCTTACCGCGCCCACAGGGTCTCCTTAGCTTCTACCTTACAGATGTGTAGGCAGGCCACTCGGCCCAGGAACGCAGCTCTCTGATCCTCTCCCTATGCTCTCCCCCGCCCCCTGAACCAGGCTTGGCGGGCAGAGGCGCCCGCGGATGTCCCGTGCGAGGATCGTTCTGTCGCTAAGCCTGACTCTCCGCTCCGCCCGAATTCTCTGTAGAGCCCAGTTTATGGAGGGGCAGGCCCAAGGACCGGCGAATCCAGCCGCGATGGAGAACGGCACCGGGCCCTGCGGAGAAGAGCGCCCACCTGAGGCTCAGGAGACGACGGTCACCGAGGGGGCCGCAAAGATCGTCTTCCCCAGCGCCAACGAAGTCTTCTACAACCCAGTGCAGGAGTTCAACCGGGACCTGACGTGAGCAGGGGTCCGGGGTCAGCGTGGCAGAGGGCAGTGGGTCCGTGAGGTGGAGAGGGGGGTGAGCTGACTCTCCGTCTCCCGCAGGTGTGCTGTGATCACCGAGTTTGCTCGCATCCAGCTTGGGGCTAAAGGAATCCAGAGTGAGTGGAAGCCCAGGCTCCTGGTGGGCGTGAGGCGGGGGGTCAACAGAGCTCTCTTCCTGCCCCGCCCCCTCTCCCTTAAAGTCCAGAAAGGCTCCAGCCGCAGAGCAGGCACTGGCTCTTCCTCAGCCTTTCCCCAGGGACTTTGGGGAGCTTTTTCTTTCATGCATCTTCTGTAGTCTGAAGAGTAGGGGGAGGTTTTTCCGAGGGAGCTTTGATATCGCCTGGCTTGTGTTTCTGGGTGGCTGCAGTCAAGGTGCCAGGTGAGAAGGACGTGCAAAAGGTGGTCGTGGACTTGTCGGAGCGAGAGGAGGACAAGGCTGAACTGAAAGAGGCTGCAGACCCGGCCCCAGGAGACCAACCTCGAACAGCCGCTGTGGGGGAGATCTGTGAGGTGGGGCCTAGGCATAGGAGGTGGCAGCCCGGGAGCCTAGTGGGTGATGGAGAAAGGAAGGGTCCTGGAGGGGGAGAGCCATAGGAGGTGGGTGTTGGGGGTTCCTTGGGGTCCAGCAGAAGATGGAGGTATTGAGGTGAGTGGGGTTCCCTGCTTACTCCAACAGGAGGGCCTGCGAGTGCTGGAGGGCCTGGCAGCTTCGGGCCTCCGTTCCATTCGCTTTGCCCGAGAGGTGCCTGGACTCCGATCTGTGATTGCCAATGATGCCTCTGCCCAAGCCGTGGATCTCATGCGCCGTAATGTGCAGCTCAACAATGTGGCCCATCTGGTGCAGACCAGCCAGGCAGACGCCCGGTAGGTTGGGGGCAGAAGAGCCTGGTGGCTGCAGGGGGAATCTGGGGCAGGGCTGCCGGGGGTCAAATCCTAGCTCTGTCATATTTTTGCTCTGTGACCTTGGGAGAGTGCCTTAGCCTCTCTGAGCCTCACTTTCCTTGTCTGTAGAATGAGGACAGTGGTTAAGTTCATGTGCTCCGCTTCGGTGGCCCGGGGTTCTCGGGTTTGGAGCCTGGGCGCAGACCTACACACCACTCATCAAGCCATGTTGTGGTGGCCACCCACATACAAAATAGAGGAAGAGGGGCCGGCCCGGTGGTGCAGGCAGTTAAGTGTGTGCGCCCCACTTCGGCAGCCCGGGGTTCACAGGTTCAGATTAGCACTGAGCTAACATCTGTGCCGATCTGTTTACTGTGGCAGTGTCCCATATAAAGTAGAGGAAGATTGGGACAGATGTTAGCTCGGGGACAATCTTCCTCAAGCACAAAGAGGAAGATTGGCAACAGATGTTAGCTCAGGGCCAGTCTTGATCACTAAAACAAAAAACAAAGCCACCAGAAGTTAAGTCTAAAGATAAACAAACTTATGGAAGTATTTGTTTAATGATCAATTAGAAAAATATTTTTTAAAAAAAGAAAATAAGTAAATAAATATTTGTGCTCCTGACTGTATTAGAACGTGATAGGCAGGGGCCGGCCTGGTGGCACAGCAGTTAAGTGCGTGCACTCCGCTTTGGTGCCCTGGGGTTCGCAGGTTCAGATCCCGGGTGTGCACCGATGTACCACTTCTCAAGCCATGTTGTGGCGGCGTCCCATATAAAGTAGAGGAAGATGGGCATGGATGTTAGCCCAGGGCCAGTCTTCCTCAGCAAAAAACAGGAGGATTGGCAATGGATGTTAGCTCAGGGCTGATCTTTCTCACAAAAAAAAAAAAAAAAGAATATGATAGGCTGATGATAACAAATAATCATGAGAAATAAGTAAATTGTGTAGCAAACGAGAGGTGAGAAGTGCTCTGGAATAAAATGGAGGGTCCAGGGGGTGGAGGAAGGTGGCGAGGTGGGTTGTAATTTTAAATCCCGTGGTCAGAGTAAGCTACATTAGAAGGTAGCATTTGCATTTCCTCACCTGCGAAGGATCCACCATAGTTTCAATTCCACGGAGGTGTTCGGAAGATTATGTGAGTAAGTGGGTTACTGCCTCTAAACTGCTTGAAGCAGCACCAGGCATATATGCGCTCCACCGGCCTTGGCTGTCGTCGTCGTTGGAGGCGGGTAGACTGAGGCAGGAGAAGGAGGAGTCCTGCAGTTAGCAAACGGCCGAGCCTGGATCTGCCCGGGCAGCTGGCCCCCGAAGCCGGGCCATAGCCGCCACACTGCAAGAGTGAACATGTGGGGACAGAGCAGGTCCCTGCTGCAGGGGCTGAGGACCTGGCCCTCTTGCTCCCAGAATGCTGATGTACCAGCACCAGAGGGTGTCGGAGCGCTTCGATGTCATCGACCTGGACCCCTACGGCAGCCCTGTCGCCTTCCTGGACGCAGCGGTGCAGGCTGTGAGTGAAGGAGGTGAGGCCGGCTGGTGCAGGGGATGGAGCAGGGCGTGGGTGTCTGGAGGGTCCTCACTGCCCAGGCCCTCCCCACGCAGGGCTGCTGTGCGTGACCTGCACAGACATGGCAGTGCTGGCGGGGAACAGCGGCGAGACGTGCTACAGCAAGTACGGGGCAATGGCCCTAAAGAGCCGGGCCTGCCACGAGATGGTGAGGGGCCCCCAGCACACCCGCCCCCCCAGACACACTCAGCGTCCTCTGGGCAGCCAGGCCAGACCCATCCCAGGACAGTGCCCACCAACACATCTTCACCTGGCCGAGTTCTTAAGAGCCTGGGATGTCAGTTGCGGTCATTTGGGGGCAGTGGCTTTGCCCAGGGGAGGAGCAGGTGGTTACGTTATTGTTTCTAGAATTCCCTGTTTTCATAACTTTTCAAGATTGTTTTTAATTAATTAATTTATTTTTTGTGAGGAGATCAGCCCTGTGCTAACATCTGCCAATCCTCCTCTTTTTTGCTGAGGAAGACTGGCCCTGGGCTAAAATCCGTGCCCATCTTCCTCCACTTTATATGGGACGCCGCCACAGCATGGCTTGCCAAGCAGTGCGTCGGTGCGCGCCCGGGATCCGAACCAGCGAACCCCGGGCCACCGCAGCGGAGCGCGCACACTTAACCACTTGCGCCACTGGGCCGGCCCCACAAGATTGGTTTTTTTAAGGCAGTTTGTCCAGGTCTGGGTTCAAATCCCAGCTTTGCCAGTGGCTTTGCGCCAGTGACTTCACCTTTCTGGGCCTCGGTTTTTGCATCTGTGAAATGGGCGGGATGAGGGGTTGCTGTGGGGATTCAAGAGGGTGGAGGGGCGGGAAAGGGGGAGCTCTTCTCCTTGTTCCTTAAGGGCCCCGTCATCTGGTCAGTCTGAGAGCCACCTCCCTTCCTGTGTTGGGGTCTCACGGCAGCCCTTGGCAAGAGGAAGCCCTGGCAGTTCTGCAGCACCCAGTGTCCCCACTTCCTGCCTGCAAAGCGCGTTGGGGCCGGAGCAGGTCCTCGGTTCACGTGGCACATACGGGGCGCCCTGATGATGCTTGTTGGAGTGGGTTCGCTGTACCGGGCCTGTGCGTTCCTCCATTATTCTTGGCCCCATAAACAGACAGAGACCACCGTGGTTTCGAAGATGAGAGAACTGTAATGTCACTTGCCAAGGGTCCCACAGCCAGGTCGCTCGGCACTGGGCTTGGCACCCAGGGGGCCGGCCCAGAGCCTGTGCCCTCGAGCACCGTGCGAGGCTCCGGGGTGGGGGAGGTGGCGGTGGGAGCGGGGCTGACCGGTGACCCCGTCCCCCGCCCAGGCCCTGAGGATCGTCCTGCATAGCCTGGACCTGCGAGCCAACTGCTACCAGCGCTTCGTGGTGCCACTGCTCAGCGTCAGCGCTGACTTCTACGTGCGTGTTTTTGTCCGTGTCTTCACCGGCCAGGCCAAGGTCAAGGCCTCAGCCAGGTTAGCCTGGGGTGGGGTGGGGGTGGGGGTGATGGATTGAGGGAGGCAGCAGGGCCTGTCCTGGGGGTGAGGGGGGTGCAGGGTCCTGCCCTGGGGAAACGGGGTCCTACAGGGGGCCGAGTCAGCCTGAGGGTGGTGACCACGCTGGGAACCGTGGCCACCCCTGTCCCCCCACAGCAAACAGGCACTGGTGTTCCAGTGTGTGGGCTGCGGGGCCTTCCACCTCCAGCACCTCAGCAAGGCTTCAGGAGCCTCTGGTGGCCGGTGAGCAAGGGGGAGCCGGGAGGGAGGTGAAGGGACGCCCCAGGGTCGCCACATCCTACCCACCCCTCTCTGCACAGGGTCAAGTTCTCTGCAGCGTGTGGTCCCCCTGTGGCCCCCGAGTGTGAGCACTGCGGGCAACGACACCAGGTGGGGCCAGGCAGCGGAGGCGAGGGGGCCGCGAAGGGCCTGGCAGTCTCGGTCCCCGCTCATCTGGCCCCTGTGTGTCCGCAGCTCGGCGGCCCGCTGTGGGCGGGGCCCATTCACGACCTGGACTTCGTGGGCCGCGTCCTGGAGGCTGTGAGCTCCAACCCCCGCCGCTTCCACACCTCGGAGCGGATCCGCGGGGTCCTGAGCGTTGTCACGGAGGTGGGGGCTGGGTGGGGAGGGGAGGGGCTCTGCCTGTGCCCAGCTGTCCTTCTTCCGTCCACTCCATGCCCCCCGTCCCCCCGCAGGAGCTCCCGGACGTGCCTCTCTACTACACGCTGGACCAGCTGAGCAGCACCATCCACTGCAACACGCCCAGCCTGCTGCAGCTGCGGTGAGCCTGGGCCTGAGCGCTGGGGGCCCTTGGGCAAGTCGGCCCCTCTCAGGCCGGAGTCTCCCGTGAAGCGGAGATCAACAGGAGCCTGGTCACGGGCTTCTCGAGAACAAAGCTCAGAGCAGAGCTTAGAGGCTGTGAGCCCCGGCCGGGGGGTGGTCTTAGGGTTGTGGTTGCTGGTGGTACGCAGGCCACGTAGTCATCGTGAGATGTGCAGTCGTGCCAGTGCATGAAACATGGCTCATACCCACACAGGTCAACACCGGTTTCGGGGTGAGTCTCCCCCTCACAGCCCCTCTCGGTCCCCAGGTCAGCCCTCCTCCACGCTGGCTTCCGGGTCTCGCTCTCCCACGCCTGTAAGAATGCCATCAAGACGGACGCCCCCTCCTCAGCCCTCTGGGACATAATGCGCTGCTGGGTGAGGGCGCGCCTGACCGGATGGAGGTGGGAAGGCAGGGTGGTCGGGCCCAGCCTCTCCTGACCTCTGACCTTTGCCCCCCAGGAGAAGGAGTGTCCAGTGAAACGGGAGCGGCTGTCAGAGACCAGCCCGGCGTTCCGCATTCTCAGTGTGGAGCCCAGGTATGGGCGGGGATGTGGATGTGGCTGCCCACAGGCATGGGAAGCCACATCTGTGCAGATGACATGACAGACATGCTCATTCTTCAAGTCAGATCCAGAATCTACCCACCTCTCCCCCTCCTCTTCCGCCCCCACCCTGGCCTGGCCCCATCACTGCTCACCTGGACCAGCGCAGTCACCTCCTGGTCCCCCATCTCTCACCCTCGCCCCCACAGCAGCCAGAGGGCACCTGTGAGCCCCTGAGTCAGATCCCGTCCCTACTCTGCTCAGAACCCTCCGTGGCTCCCACCACCCTCAGTAGAAACCAGAGTTCTGCTTGCAGGCCCTGCACCATTTCCCTGTCACCTCCCTGCTCTCATTAGTCCCCACTCTCTCCCTGCCTCACTTACTCAAACTCACCAGGCACAGCCCTGCCTCAGGGCCTTTGCACTCGCTGTTCCCTCTGCCTGGAGTGCGAGTCCCCAGGTCCCCCGTGGCTTACCTCGCCTCCTTCATGTTCCCCTGACTGCCCAGTCCTGCTGCCCCACTCTCCTCTTCCCCTTTAGCCTGCTGTGGTTTTCCCCAAACTCGCGTCTCACGCCCTAACACAGTATAATTTGCTGGTTTCTGATCTGTCCCGTTGCTTGTCTGTCTCATGCGGTAGAATCACCTCTAGCAGCAGCACATTTTAGGCACACAGTAGACACTCGATAAATGTTTATTCAATGAGTGAAAGAGTCCTGCCGCGGGCAGACAGTCTCCCGGGGCACACGGAGCTGCCCCGAGGTGGACGGGCCCGGGCAGTGCGTGCACGCCCGCGTGGCGCTGCCCCTCAGCCCCCACCCCCGCTTCCCCAGGCTTCAGGCCAACTTCACCATCCGGGACGATGCCAACCCCAGCTCCCGCCAGCGAGGACTCAGGCGCTTCCAGGCCAACCCCGAGGCCAACTGGGGCCCCAGGGCCCGCGCCCGGCCAGGGTGAGCGCGAGCGTGGTGGGGTGGGGCCTGGCTGGGGCAGGGGGTGCAAAGGCCAGATGGGGGCCCAGCCGCTCATCCCCTTGCACAGGGGCAGGGCCGCAAGCGGAGCTATGGAGGCCAGACGCAGGCTGCTCCAGAATAAGCGGAAGGAGCCGGCTGAGGACCCGGCCCAGCGGGCTGCCCGACTCAAGACCTTTTCCTGCAAGCGGTTCAGGGAGGTGAGGCGCCCCACCCCCATTGCCGCGTGGGCTCCCCTCCGGCAACAGGGCGGGGAGGACGCGGGGCAGGTCCTGGGGAGGAAGCTCGCCATCCAGGAAAGGAACCAGCGGAGGGTTCACCCCACCGTCCTCCACCAGGGCACCTGCGAACGGGGGGACCAGTGCTGCTACTCCCACAGCGCCCCACCGTCCCCCACCGACTGTCCAGAGACCCCTGACCAGAACACCCCTGCGCCTGGGGCCGCCACTGGTCCAGGCGTGGACTGAACCAATAAAGAGATGTCACCTTCCCCTGACTGTCGTTTGTCTGAGTAGGGAGGCTGCCTGTGGTCTGTCTGTCCGTCTATCCAGCCGCATGTCTGGGATCTGTTCCTCTATCCACCTGTTTTAACTCCCTTGGGAGCTCCGTGCATCTGGCGGCTTGTTTGTCCCTGCCTGACGGAGGTGCTGCCAGCGTTTTTGTCTGGGTTGGGGGCGGGAGCCGAGCACCCGCCTGCACAGTGGTCTGTCCCTCTGCAGCACGAGGCTATCCACCCCCGGTGCCGGCGCCTGCGGTTCCCGAGGCGGCCACGGGGCGGCAGCCGTGCGCTCGCGCCCGCGGGCCTTTAATCGCCCCCCACCCCCGTCGGCGCGCTCCCGGGCGCAGGCGGGTGCTCCAGCCACCGAGCCCCCACGTGGCCTCGCGCCGCCGCCTCGCCGCCTGGTTTCTCTGGCCCAGCCCCCCCTTCCCCCCGGGACCGCCGTGGCGGAAGCCGGACCGGAACCAGGCGCCTTGTGTATCCGCTCCAGACCAGGTGCTTCCTGCCCCGCGGCCCCTCGGGCGCGCACTGGGGCACCCGGCAGGCTGCTGCATGTCCTCCTCCCAGGGCAGGGGTTAGCAACCGAGAGGCCTGGGGCGCAATCCCCACCCGCCGCGGGGTAGCTGTAGGACCCCCGCGAGCACGCGTGCTTCATCCCCGTCTGTGAAATGAACCTCATCCCGGAACCCACTCTGTAGGGTCATCAGAGTTAGCCCGTGTGCTCGGAGCGTATTCTCGCTTCCCTGGGCAGCGGGACGGTTGGTTGTGGGCCCGGCCTTCGCCCGATTCCTAGGAGGGTGGTGGTAGTGCGGGTGCTGGGCGGCGCTGAGGGCCTGCCTGGGCTCCTGCAGTCACCCACATACACAGGGCAAAGCATGACCCACCAGGGGGCAGGGTGCCAGCGTAAGGAGCAGTCTTGTGGCGGCTCCTAGCTGGACCCAGGCCCCTCCCTCAGTGAGGCTCCAGCGGGGTCTCCAGTCTCCTCACCACTCCAAGAGGCTTATAACGCTGCAGTGGCCCGGAGAGGAGGGCCAGGGACCACTGACTTGGGGCTATGCCATCCTGTGACCTGGAGGCCCAGGATGGTGGGGACGTGCTGGGGGCGCCTATCGGAAGATTCTGCCCGCCCTGACGCCCTAGGAAGTCTCTGCCAGTTGTGGCACTTCCTGTCACCCTCCTGAGCCTGGAAAGGTGTGGTGGATAGCTTCCTGGGGGCCCAGGACACCTGCCCAGGCTGGACACCCAAGGCCAGACTGTTAGCTGCCCTCCCGCTGGTGTCCCACTCCAGGGTGGGGGTGGCGGGAAGGCCGGGAGGGGCTCTGTAAAAAGAGGAACCAGGCAGGGTGAGGAGAGGAGGGGAGGCCGGGTCACGAGGCCCCAGCAGGGCCGGAAAGGGTTCTCCACCCCCACTGGCACGGACACTCGGGCAGGGGGTGTTCAAAGCCAGAGGCCAGGCCCAAGCAACACAGGAGGCCGCATCTTCTCTGCCTCGGTTTCCCCTCTGCACATATCCGGGCACCGCCCAGCTGCACGCTGGGGTGGGGGTCCCTCGAGTCCTGTGGGACAGAAGGTGAGGCCCTAAGAGGTGCCGGCCAAGTCCTGCCCTTGCTGGCCCGGGGGCGGGGCCGTGAGGCCCACGCTCAGAGATCCCCGCCTGCCGGTTTCCTCCGGGGTCAGCCCGGCTCCTTATCAGGCGCGGCCAGGCGGACAGGCCCTTATCTGCGCTGGCCCAGCATCCTCCGGCGTGGCTGGGGGTGAGAGGGAGGAAACCGGGCCGCCGGGGGGCGGGGAGAGGGCGGGCCGGCCGGGAGCAGCTCACTTTCCCTCGAGGGACCCACGCTGCCGCCAAGACCCTTGGGAGCCCGGGAAGAGGCACAGCCTGACGCTGCTGCCTGGACGGGGCAGCCGGCTCCCAGCAGGCCGGAGCACAGAGGCTGGACGGGAGCTGGCTGTGGGGCCTGGCGTAAAGCCACAGCTGCATCCTCGCCCTGACGGACAGAGCCAGGGCACTCACCAGGCAGCAGGACCAGCGCTGGGGTAAGAGGGGAACTGACCTGAAGGTGGGGGATCCCAAGACTGCCTGCATTCATTCATTCATTCATTCATTCATCAGTGGGGACTTACTAAGTGAGGGGCCAGGCCAGCTTCCCCAGGGCCTGGCTGGGGAAGGCGGGGCAAAGGGGCCGGGAGCCCAGATGTTGCTGGGACACTCCAGGCCATGGGGCGAGGCATGAACAGGGAATTCTAAGGAGGGTTCGAAGGCGCGGATGCTGATGGGGGGTATGGCGGGTGGGGAGACACCAGGGCCAGAGGGAGGAGTGGGGCATGACTGTAGGTACTGGGCTGTGGGGTCAGTGTTTGGGGATCCTAGGGTCAACATGTGGGGTCACAGTGTCAGCAGTGGGGTCACAGGGTTAGTAAGGGGGACATTTTCAGTGAAGGGGGCCACGGGAGCAATTACGGAGGACTTTCAGGGTCTGACATGCAGGCAGTGGGAAGAGCCTGTGGTCATAGCTGAGGGCCACATGGTCAGCCTGGGGGGGAGTCAGTGAAGGATCAGTCAATCGTGGAGGAATTCCAAGGTCCCATGGTATCAGTGAGCGGTCTCGGGATCAGATCAGAAGGTCACAGGATCATCCTGGGTGTCACAGGGTACATCGTGGGTTCCCTCCCTTGCCCCTCCCTCCAGGTGAGAGGGGATTCTGGAAGAAGGGAAATTTGCTCAGGGACTGGGTGACTGAGGCCCTCATGGGTCACAAACAGCTCAGAGACAGCACTGCCCAGCTCAGTGCTGCCCAGTGCCTCAGTGGGCGCCTCCTGCTCTTGTGTCAGGCCCCTCCCATGTCCTGGCAGTTTCTGGGCCCACCCCCCCACCTGACTTTGCCTGCTGAATCGCCATCCCCCCCCACTCTCCCTCCCATTTCTAGGGCTCTCGGGCTAAGGGGTGTGTGTGGCATCTGATCCCTCCATTCCTCCCACAGGTGAGCACCCCCTCGGGGTCCATGTGCCCGCCCCAGGCCCAGGCAGAGGTGGGCCCCACCATGACTGAGAAGGCCGAGATGGTGTGCGCCCCCAGCCCAGCGCCTGCCCCTCCCCCCAAGCCCGTCTCGCCCGGGCCCCCGAAGGCAGAGGTGGTGGGCCACCCAGGCTCCTCCCCCCCTAGGCTGCCCCCCGGCGTGCCAGTCATCAGCCTGGGCCACACCAGGCCACCAGGGGCGGCCGTGGCCACCACAGAGCTGAGCGCCCTGCGGCCCCCGCTGCTGCAACTCTCCACCCTGGGAGCCGCCGCATCACCCCTGGCCCTGCATTACCACCCTCACCCCTTTCTCAACAGGTCAGTAGAGGCTGGGGCCTGGGGGGAACCGGGGCAGGTCCTTGTCCACAAGGCGTTAGTGACCCACAACCCCTTACAGCCTCTACATTGGGCCGGCAGGACCTTTCGGCATCTTCCCTAGCAGCCGGCTGAAGCGGAGACCGAGCCACTGTGAGCAGGAGCTGGCTGAGGGTGAGTGTGGGTTTGTGTGTGCGCCGCCATCTCTGCGGGGCCACATCTGTCCCATACCCTTCCACGGGGAGAGGTGTCACCAGCGCACAGACACACACAGGACAGCCCACACAGGAGCTCAGTACTTAGGTTACACCCACGTGCAAACCCACAGACCCATGGTCGGTCCCACACAACCACGGCCACCCAACAAGCCACAAAGAATCATAGCAAAACACAGCATGGCACAGGGGCCACAAAATGACAGCTCCACGTGAACGCACAGCCACGCAGGAAACAGCCACAGGACAAACCTCTCAAGACAGCCACACAAGAGACAGCCACACAACCACAGCCACACAAGAGACAGCCACACAACCACAGCCATTTAGGACCATGGCCACACAGGAGTCAGCCACAGAACCACAGCCACGCGTGACACAGCCATATGACCGCAACCACATGGCAAGGATCACACACAACCACAGCCATTTAGATATACCAGGAGTTCACACAGCCACCGGAGACGCAGACTGGCCCACAACCAGGAGAGAATCCCTCAGACCGACCAGCACACTCAGCCACACATAGGGGCACGCTCGATGAGGACCACAGGGACAGCTCCCCAGCCTGGCAGCCCGGGGAAACACTGCCCTAGGGAATCTCAACCAGTGGCACAAAGGTGCCGACAGTCAGAGGGACAGAAGGCCCCAGTGTCTGCAGCGTGGGCCTGCGATGCTCCTTGTCTGGAGGGCTGGGGTGGTGTGGGGGGCGGGGCTGCTAACCGGCAGGAGAGCTACACGTGGATCCTACACGTGGGTCCCTTGGGTGGAGAAAGCCCCAGCCCAACGCCTGTGCTGAGTCCCCACGAGGGTTTTGGGTGCCAGAAGTGAGGGCAGGAGGGGGAGCCCCCCGGGCCTCGGCGCCAACCCTGACCCCCTGTCCTCAGGGCACCAGCCCCAGAAGGTGGCCCGGCGCGTGTTCACCAACAGCCGCGAGCGCTGGCGGCAGCAGAACGTGAACGGCGCCTTCGCCGAGCTCAGGAAGCTGCTGCCAACGCACCCGCCCGACCGGAAGCTGAGCAAGAACGAGGTGCTCCGCCTCGCCATGAAATACATCGGCTTCCTGGTGCGCCTGC